TGCAGACCCTGAGAGGATAATACAGATGGGCCTGGGTGGGCCTGGGGGCAGCGGCTCTCACTCCTCCCGGTGCTGGGGTTTTTTATGGTGGTGGGGGGCTGTCTCCTCCCCATAACCTCCGGGAGCAGGGCACATCCACTTTGTCCCAGCAATGAGAATGTGGCCGTCAGTCCTCATCCCACGCTGCTCCCAGGCGTCTGGAGCATGGGGTTCTCCTGGGAGGGAGGTGGCTGTCTCCCAACTGACTGTCCAGCCCAGGACATAGAGAGGGGCGTGTGTGTGTGTGTGTGTGTGTGTGTGTGTGTGTGTGTGTGTGTGTGTGTAGGGTTTGAATGCTTAAGGAACCTGGTTGGAACCCCTTCTCCTCGACACCCACACCTGCAGGTTCCCCCACCCAGCCAGGCTGGCGTTCAGAGGACTGAGCTTCCGCACGAGGGCGCATCCGCTCCTAGACTCCGGGACTCCCGGCCTTAGGGCGGCAGTCCCCGGAAAGGCCGGACAGCGCCCCTGCGCGGTAATCGCCCCAGAGCACGCCTTCCGGGGCCAAGGCTGCCAGTGTCACCCGAGAGCCCAGGCTGCCGACCGCGCCCGGAGCGGGACACTGTCAGCCGTCGGCCCCGCGCCTCTAGACTGCGGGCGATCCCGCTGGCTGGAGCCTTTCTCAACTTTCCCCGGTTCCTGTCCGCGCCCCGCCCACCTGCCGGGCGTGTCTCCGCAGGCGACCAGCCCACGCCGCAAGTGGGCGGTGTTTATTATTGTGGAGCGTCAAGCTCAGATTCGCCTAAGGGTTGGGCAGAGGCGCACGGGACAGCGCAGCGGGGTGTGCCTTTCGGGAGGGTCGAGGGTGCGTGCTGGACTTGGGGGTCTTTGGAGAGCTCTGGGAGGGCGGGGGCTGCGGAAGTGAGGGAGGTAATTGCACGGTGACACTGGCTTACCTCTGGGTCTGGGTCTGTTAGAGCGAGTTCCGAAGCGAGGGAACGGGTTGCAAAAGTGAGGTCGCTCACCCTCGCCCTTCACCCCAGATTAACAAAGTGTATTTTGGTGGAAGCCGGGGTTCTGAGGGAAACACGCTGGACCCTCTCGGCACCAACCTTCCCGCGGGACGGGACGTGGGGCGGCAGCCAGGGCTGCCCGGCTGGATTCGGGTTAGCGATGCTGAAGTCATAGAGGGAAATGGAGAATGGAGTTTCACCGGGGCCAACCTTCCATTTCCTGTTTCCTTACTCGCTTCCCTGCGGTGGTGGGACGCTGGGATGCTAGGACATCAGTACCGCAAAGGCTGTATCTGGATCATCATCCCTCTTCTCCGCACTCAGAGGCCATCTGTGTACTAGCCACCGGTCCATGCCTGGTACCCTCCCTCATCGGCGCTCGGTGTGTCTCCCCCTTCCAGTGGGCCGCTGAAGGCTATTTCTCTACCCACTGGCACCCCCAGACACTTCCCTCTCCTCTGGCGAGGTACTCGGGGGACAGCTGCTAACCCAGACCTTCACACAGTTTCCACTTCCTCTCAAAGAACACTCGCAGGCAGACATCAAAAAAGAGAGACTGGTCACGCAAGCCCACCCTGAGTCCCTAACCCCACTGGAGGGGAACCACTTGGAGAGGCGCCTCCTTTGGAAGGAGCATCATCCAGGAGTTTGGATTCAAAGCTTGACGTGGCTAAATGTAAAACGAGCCGGTGTGGGGGCTGCTTAAGCACCCCCAGTGGGCGGGTGGGGGGGGGCAGCATGCAGGCTTCACAAATGCTTAATGTAATCACCAGCCAGCTGTGCACACTTGTAAAGCTGTTGTAACCCCCTCCTTGTTATAAACAGGAAAGCACAGAGTAGGGAGCTAAAGACCCACATTCACGAACACCCGCTCCCCGCCAGCTGCCACCCCCCCCCCCCATGGTGTGCCCTGCTAGCAACCTTGGCCAGACCAGAAAGGCCTTCTCCCCACTTTCCAGGGAGAGTTGCTTTGCAATCTTCAGGGCAGCTAGGGACCAGGTGCATTGTCCATTTGCAGTTGCTCCGAGCTGTCTGCTCTCCCCCTCCAGAAAGGCTGGCTCCTGGGGTCCATCCCTTTTCTCAGTCTCCTCAGCCCTGTTATGTGGGGCACCTGGCAGTCCCTTAGCAAGCGCTCGTCTCCGTGGGGGGTGTCTAAGTGTCTTCCCAGCTCCCCCAAAGGCAGAGAAGGGTGCTATCTCCACACTGCCTGTTAAGCTGGGGGAGAAAAAAGGTCTGTAATGGGAGGGCTCCCCCAGACCAGCATAAAACGTACCCGCTGGCTTCCCCACCCCCACCCCCAGCCCTCCTTCCTGGCCTAGCAGACCCAGCTTGGGGAGAGCCACCCGTCCGTCCCTCCACATCCTGCCTTGCTGACTGTGCTTACAGCGTCAAGGGGTGGACGTGGTATTTCAAACATCAGATCAGTGCGTTTATATATTGGGTGCCCGGAAATTTTTCCAAATAAACACAGCTTGATTCAACTTGGGTGGGCGGACTTATCAACAGACTAATTCTATAAACAAATGAGGACTAGCCCCGAAACCCATTGGCTGGTATCAAAAAGACACGTGGAGGGAAGAGCTGGGAGATTTTCAGCAATGAACTTTTAATTAATGTGGGTGGGCTGAGAACACAAGGACTGTTTATCATAGACAATTTATTTTCCAGCGCTAAGTCAACACATAATAGCAAACTTACAACAATTATTTAACATTTTTAAAGCCATGAAGAAGGGACAGAGCGCGCAGCGGCTGGGGAGAGCGGCAGATCGCGAGGCAGCCGCACCGAGGGCTCCCCAGGAGGGCCGCGGCGCCCGGAGAAGTCCCTAGGCCTCCCCCCAGCGGAGCGCGGAGGCTGCCGTCGCCATGAGCCACCTCTTCGGTCCCCCGCTGGCCGCCCTGGCGGCCTCGCCGCTGCTCTACGTGTACAGCCCCGAGAGGCCCGGGCTGCCCCTGGCCTTCGCCCCCACCGCCACGCTGGCCGGCCCGGGGCGCGCGGAGCCCCCGCAGAAGCCTCCCTACAGCTACATCGCGCTCATCGCCATGGCCATCCAGGACGCTCCCGAGCAGAGGGTCACCCTGAACGGCATCTACCAGTTCATCATGGACCGCTTCCCCTTCTACCACGACAACCGCCAGGGCTGGCAGAACAGCATCCGCCACAACCTGTCGCTCAACGAGTGCTTCGTCAAGGTGCCGCGCGAGAAGGGGCGGCCGGGCAAGGGCAGCTACTGGACGCTGGATCCTCGCTGCTTGGACATGTTCGAGAACGGCAATTACCGGCGTCGGAAGAGGAAGCCCAAGGCCGCCGCGGGATCCCCGGAGGCCAAGCGCACCCAGGTCGAGCCGCCGGAGTCAGTGATGGGCTGCGACACAGCGTGCCCCGGCCTGGCCACTGCCCGCCCGCCGCGCGCGCCGGATCGCGCTCAGTCCCCGGCGGAAGGCACCGCGCGGCCCGCGCTCCTTCCCCGGTCCGGCCCTGAGCCCCGGGACCCCGACTCGGACCACACAGTCCAGGGCGCAGGGGCAGCGGCCAGCGGCCAGCGCGAGCGCGCGGTACCCCGCCCGGGCTCCCCTCTGCGCCCCGCCCCCAGCGGCTCCCCCAAGGGGTCCAAGTCCAAGAGCTTCAGCATCGAGAGCATCTTGGCTGGGAGGCCAAAGCCGGTCTCAGAGGACGAGGCCCCGGGGCGCCCCAAGCCCGTGCCCGGTGCGCTGGCCGCCTCGCTGCTGGCCTCCTCCTCCGGCCTGCCGCCTCCCTTCAACGCTTCGCTGGTGTTCGACCCTCACGTCCAGGGCGGCTTTTCCCAGCTGGGAATCCCCTTCCTTTCCTATTTCCCTCTGCAGGTCCCCGAGGCTGCGGTGCTCCGCTTCCAGTAAGGCGGATCAGCCGCCTCTAAGCCCCGCGCGGTAACCCCACCTCCAGCGAGCCAAGGCCGCTAGCCTGTGGGCGAAGGAGTCTCCTCGCGGCTCTGCCCTGGCGACTGTGGGTTTGGAGCAGCGTGCCCACGTCTGCGAAACTCTGGGCACTGGGGGCTTTCTCCGAGGACGACTTAACTGGCCACTGGTACCTTTGCAGATTTAGGAGAAGGACGTGGTCACCGCACACTCAGCGCTCACAATTCATTACCCGAAGTCCCTCCCCCCACCCCCACCCCCCACCCCGTTGGCCTTGGCTTTGTGCTGTGGCCCACCCCAGGTCTTCCCTTGAACCCGAGTCTCCTGCTGACCCGGAGGGCAGGACTTTCAGACCAGGCGAACTAAGTGGAGGTTCAGCTGCACCACGGAAGGCTCAGCTTATGGCCCAGGCCTTGGCTTCAGGATGCCGGGGGTGACCTGTAGCTCCCGGGGTCTGGGGGAGATGGAGGCCTGGTTAACGTTCACAGCGAACGTTGAGAGGAAGCAGGCGGAGCGGCAGCCTGCTGTGAACAGATAAACTTTCTTCTAGACAGCAAAGGGGTCATTTATTCTTGGCTTATAAACCAGGCTCTGCTCACTGTGGCTAACAGCTCCTTTCAAGGCACCCCATGTGGGCCATGCACCCCGGCTAAACGGTGGCACATCAATGCATTACCCAGCTTCTGCTTTTCTTTTTATTGGACCAAAAGAGTTCAGGGGACAGAGGAGGGTGTGTGTGTGTGAATGGCATGAATACTCCCAAGGTCAGAAATTTTCTTTCTGTAGCTTTTCAAGATCTAAGGTTTTGGGTCTTTTTCCCCCTCATGTTTTCCAGATTCACATGGTAAAGGACTCCATGTAACCAGAAGGGCTGGGGGAGCAAGCACATTCCTGTCTGAGTGCGGGACAGAAGTGCCTCTGCTGATGGCACAGCCCCCAGGCTTTGTAGGGGCTCTCTCCACACACAGCCGGAGGTACCCCAAGTCAGTACCCCCTCCCCTCCCCTCGAGAGGCGGCTCTGGATCACCAGAGGGGGGGCCCGGGGCCCCAACAAAAATCTGATTAAGTTGGTCACCGTTCAGCCCAGCTTCCAACTTAGGGGGAAACACTCAGGCCCTCGTGGTGTGCCAGTGTTTAGAAAGGAAGGAGCTGGTCTTTTATCGGGGGTAAGAAAAGTGCAAAATGAAGAATTCTTGGGTGTAGGCCCAGAGTGAAGTCTCACAACAGCTGAGGTGTGCACATCTGTAATTTCAGTACTTAAGAGGCAGAGGCAGGAGGATTGCTGTGAGTTTAAGGCCAGCCTGTGCTAGAGCTGTCTCAAACCAAGGAACAAAACAACCAAACAAGCACTTCCCAGGATTTGTGCAAAGAATGCTTTAAGAACCGTCAGTCCCCTGCTGGTCGATGCTCGGAAAGCATTTCGGGCGGCTGTGATACTATTCTGTTTTACAGCCCAATCCAGGTCCCGCAGGGTCTGTGGGGAGGTGGGGGAGAGTGCAGAGCGGCCTTAGACTTCATGAGGACCCAGGTGGCTGTGACTGGGAGTAGGGCTGCCATTGGATGTTTCCCATGTGCTCGTCTCTGAATAAAGGTTGTTTTTTCATTAACCTCTCACTGACTGGTTCAGTGGATTACGAAGGACATAAACAAACAGTGTAGTAGGGGGAGAGAGAGAGTGAGATTCTATCCGGCACCCGGTCAGCATCTTTGGCGGCCTTGGCTTCGGAGGCTGAAGGAAAGCTGCAGGGGGAGGCACCAGAAACTCAGCTGAGCCCTGGAGGGGATTGGATGGCAGGGAGGGTGGGCAGCTCGGCCGAACTGGGTGCTTTTCTTTTCCTTCTCGTGTTTGACATGCTGTCTTGTGTGTGTTTGTTGACTTGTGACAACCGACTTTTGGAAAAACAACTGGTTGAATGCTGCTCTTCCTCGGAGGTGGTGTTATAGGGTCATAGCTCTGAAAGCGTTGGCAAGAACATTACTTTTAAGGAGCAGATGGACGCAAGAGCATGTATCTACTTTGTGTGTTTACACAGAACGGTTCTATCCAGTTTCAGCTTCCGTCAGGCGCCAAATTCTCCAATTCCTGGAGAATTGGACTCTGAAGGTGTGTTCTCTCCAGTCTGCGTCAGTCTCCGCGTCAGTCTCTGTGTGTGCTCCTTTCCCACTGAGGAGACAGGAAGAGCGCAGGGTCCTCAACAGCCAACCAGCTGCCTCCAATGTCCCACGTGTATGGCTGGCTCAGTGGGATAGATTTTATTATTAATTATCATTACTGTTATTGTTAGGTCAGCTAGACCAAGAAATGGTTTCCTAGCAGGCATGGTGGAGCATGCAAGTTTTCCCAGTACCCGGGAGGCAGGGGCAGGCAGGTCGATCCCTGAGTTCAAGGGCACCCTGGTCCTCTAGTCTAAACAGGAGTTCCAGGCCATGTAGGGTTACACAATGAGATCCTGTCTTTAGAAAAAGGGGGAGGAATTTCTGCTAGTAATTAAGACAGTGCTCCAGTTGTGTTTAGCAGGAAGCAGAAGGAAGACTATGGTTCCCCTCTCATGCAACCAGAACGAAGGGCTGGATCTCCTCCAATCACTCTGAGTCCCCCTCTCTGCCTCTCTCTAGGTGTCTCTCTGTCTCTGTCTCTTAACTGTCTGTTTGTCTTTGTATCTCTCTTTGTCTCTACCTGCCCACCTCTCTTTCCCACACGCAGATGAGTCCACTCATGTGACGACAGATAGGATAATAATGAATACGTGTCCTTAAGCGGTACACGCATGCCTGTGTGTGTGGACATGCAAACATCTGTATATCTGTGACATGCACATGGGCACTCAGAGACAATTGCCTGAAGAGCAGAATTCTGTGGCTTTATATAGGCCTTCCTTTTAAAACGTCTCGTGTGCTTGTGTGTATGTGTGTTTGTGTGTGTGTGTGCCTGTTCATATTCGCGTGTGAGTGTGGTTACAGGTGTGTACGCTGTGGCATGATGTAGAAGTCAAAGGACAAGCTCTGTGTCAGGCTTCATCTTCCATCTTTGTTTACTTCCGTATACACACACAGGGCTAGCTGACCCACCGGCTTCTGGAGCCTCCTATCCCTGCCTCCCAGCTCTGCAGAAGTTGCCGGTTCTACAGCATCTGGCTTTTCATGGGCCCTGGAGATCTGAACTCCGGTCCTCAAACTTGCATAGCAAGCCTTTACCCACTGAGTCGCCTCCCCAGCCCTGTAGATTATAAGGCTTTCCAGTTTCACTTTCCGTATTGTTCTGACTCGGGACAGATTATCTCTGTTTCTGAATCGCCGTAATGAGACTCACCCAGGCTTCGTGTCTCAGAAGACACCCTGACTCTGAGGCCTTTGTTACTTTTATCAAAGAGTTTTGTAGACCAGATGTTTTGGATGCCAAGGACCTGACACATATTTTCTAGGACATGAACAAGACCTGTCTAGGGCATTCAGGGTGTGGCCACTAACTCCAGTCATTCTCATGTGTCCTTTTCACCATCTCAAGGAGGGGCCAGTGGCTGCTCAAGAAGGAGCCACAGAGGGTGACTGTTATGGGAACCAGGGCTGGCCTGCCTCTGTGTCAGCAGCTTGAAGTTTCCACCACAGAAACCTACGCATGAGAAAACCGATAGCCTCAGTTGTGTGTACTGCCCTGCCTCGTGATGACTGCAGTCACAGCTGTTTCACAGAATATAAAAGATCAATGATAAAATCACCCGCTATTACACAGGAAGAACAGGGCCTTGTGGGAAGAGTAGAATTCATTTGGTGTGCATTCAGAGTAGTTTATTTTTAAACTACTTACAGTGACAAGTGGTTTGCTGGGCCGCTCCTGCCTCAAGGTCCCAAGGTCTGCAGGCCAAGGCAGATGCCAGAGTGCTCACAGCAACTCAGCCTCAGGGAGGGCTGAGACCTGATATTGGGATGGAGGGGTTCCTGTCCCTCCAAACGGCATCCGAGTGCCAGTGTCCCCAGGCAAGATGGATAATTGTCTCATAGACCAGATTAGGGGGTGAGCTGGGTACATGCACCATGGGGGTTAGGGAGCTTTGAGCTTTGGGTGTCCGTGTTTATACTGGTGCTGGGTGAGGAGAAGGAGGAAGGGGAGGCTGTGGGGTAAAAGATGGCCTTGAGCCTCTTTTTTCTATAAGGTTTGAGAGTTAGGGTCCCACGGGAAATTGAAACTTACTCAGATCAATGACAAGGACCATATGGTGGGGACTGGGGACCAGGTGAAGAAACTAGAAGGGTGAGGACATGGTCCGACCTTCCTTCCAGCCTCCAGCACTACCCAACAACTCCACCTCTCCCCAAACACCTTGGCCTACCTGCCTTACACCCCCAATACCTCAGACTGGCTGTAACTACAAGGAAGACTTAGGTCACAGGCTTATGGAAGGTAAGCTATGAACTTGCTGCCTTCTTGGGAGAGAGTGAGCGTGAGCAAGGATGAGAGTGTGGGAAGGCAAGTAGAGCATGAATGACAGACTGGGCGGTTCTTCTTGGGCCAGTCAGTGGTTGCTATCCTGACCACAGTTATGACCCTCGAGAGCAAGGCAGGGATGCCTCAGATAATGCCCAGCTGAGCCTTCACTTCCTGGACACTGGGTCCCTTCTGAGCAAGCTTCCAAGAGGACACAGCATTTCTAGACCTGAATCCCGAGCCCCGTAGGTGGGCAAGGTCTGGGGCTGGTCATGGCTCCCAGGGGTCACATTTGGACCCTCCGGTCTCCATCCTTACACCTCAGAGCCCGGGAGGAGCTGCTAAGTAGGGAAGGTTGTATCAGACTATGTTCAACTCGTCTTCGTTTGTCACCAAGCCCGAAGTCATCCTTGCTGATGGCTCTCTGGATGTGAGAGACTCCATACTGTCCTTCCAGGATGTGTGTTCCCCGAATAGTGATGTCATCTGCCAGCACAGAGGAGGGAGGCTATGATGGTGTTCTGGCTGCAGGGCAGTGTCTCTCTCATGTCCTCTTGGAGGAGGCAGGGCCACACCCTGGCACTCATGGGTCAGGTGGACATGGACAGAG